GGCGGGAGCGCGCCCACCAGCCTGATGTCAGCAAGGATCGGAGGGAGATAGGCGCCCAGAGCGGAAGGTGGAGGCCGGCTGCCGACTGATCCGCGGAAGCCCTGGCGAGAGAGACCTGGAAGAAGAGGAGACTGCGGAAAGCGGGAGCGCGCCTGCCCCCCGCGGTGCACGGACCCGGACTCGGGGAGCGGGCGCGTCCCGGGCCATGTGGCTGTGCGCAGTGGAGCTCAGCCTACGCCAGCTACCCCATCGCACCGCGGCAGAGCCAAGCCACACTCCCCGCGATGGACTCGCTCTGACTCCGAGTCTTGCGTTGATGAAGCCGGGAGCGGGTTCGAACTGAAGTCGTGCTTGGTGGGGAAGAAGGCAGGAAGCTTTTCAGTGCTCCAGGCCGCTGCTATTTTGGTGTTCTCAGCGCCAGTCAGACTGCTTTATGCTCTGAGCGCCCGTGACCTCTCTGCAGTGAAACAGAAACTACGAGCTCGATGAAAACTCATTCTTCAACAGTGCTTCCTTTGCGTGCATCTTGGGGGCTGGCAAGGTTGAGTATGTAAAGCGTGGTGAAGCGACATCAGGAGGGACTCTCCTAGAAAAACATGAACAAAATTCGTAGATACTCAAAGTGATGCTGGAACCTATGGCATGTTTTTCAAATTCCTAACAGCGTGCGTAAGGACTCAAATTGTTATGAATATTTTACATTTCTACGGGAAAAAATTGGGTAGTTAGGTTGTGAATCCCTGTTGAAGGGAAGGAGGAATGTAAGAATAAGGAAAGGCTGGACAAAAGGAAAGTGAATGGATTAAAAAAGGTCAATATACACCAGCACAGCAAACATCTGGGGAAGAAGTGAAGCCCTTTCCAAGATTAGGACATTTCTAAATAAATAAATAATATATCGGGGACATTTTAAGCTCTTGGTGCCAAGGGGGCCGTGTGTGAACACACACAGACAGGAATCTTGACGTCCAATGTTGGCTATGGTCATAACTCACGCTGTCACCCTGACAGTTCAGGCAAACTTTGCACGTCTCAGTTTCTTTACCTGCGAAGTATTTTATTCTTTTCAGTTTTAACATTCCATGATTCTGCCTGCCCAGATCCATCTAAACCTCTAGCCAACAAGACCTGTCCTGGATGAATCTGATTGATATCAGATATCAGGTCATACTTTCCAAAAACACTGCCAAAACCGGCCACTTCTTATTTCTATGGAGGCTCTGACTGCCACACTAAAACCCTTCATCAGCATCTTCAGCTTCCCCACACCAAGATATCATGATATTTTGTTTAGAGGGCAGGTTCTCACTCCAGGCTATCTGGGTTCAATATTTAGTGTTTTATTACCCTACTGATATTGAACAAAAAGTCTAGGTGCCTCTGTTTCCTAATCCATAAAATGGGTCTAGTAGCAGGAACTATTTTACAGGAGTTTGTGAGGATTAAATAAGTTGAACATAAGTCAATGCCTGACACATAAAATTATGAACTGACACATAAAATTATGAACTGCTATTCCTACCATTGATGGAAGATTCCCATCAACCTCATGCTAGCTAGACCAGTGCTGTTCAAGAAAACTCCCTGCAATAAGGAACGTGCTCATATCTATGCTATCCAAAGTGGTAGCCATTACACACATGTGGCTACTGAGCACTTGCAATGTGGCTAGGGTGAATTGGGAATTTTAATTTTTATTTAATTGATTAATTAAAACCTAAATAGCACCACAGGTGGCCAGTGGTTACCATATTGGATGGTGCAGCTAGGCCACAGATAACCTGCCAGTTTTAGAATTATGTAGCTAGAAGGGATTATGATTACATTTCATATCTTTCCTTATGAATTTTTCCAACAGCTTAAATAGTCAGAAACCCCAAAGCATATTCACTATCATAATAACAACATCCAGAAGTTATTTGTTTATTCATTGACAATTGCCTGCCTTTTCTAACCAGAATTTAACTCTTTTAAGTCAGAGATTTTGCCATGTTCATCCCCAGCTCCTAACACATAGCCTGATATATAGTTGATATTTAATCAGTATTGACTGATTGATTGTCAAAAACCTCAACAGGAAAGATTCCTCAAAGTCTAGGACAGTTAAAGGAGGTTGAAATTGCCACTCACTCCTGCTTGAGGAATTGAGCTGTTGAGTGACTGGCACTACATGAAATTAATTATTTGAAAGAAAAAGTGAGAGACAAGAAGGGAAGAAGTAGTTCG